CCCGTCGCCAAAGTGCGCCTCGGTTTGGTGGGCCTCGATTGAGCTCGTACAGCGCTTTTTGCGAAACCATCCATTTTCTACCACCAAAATGGTTCACTTGCACCATTGCAGCTTCTAGTATGACAGGTTACCAGTCATTTACCATGAAACAGAAGGATTAAGCGAGAGTGCAAAATGCCCCTGTAAGTCAAACAGCGCCAAACGGTCGTGATGCGTTGCCTTGCCTGCCATAATGAATATATTGAAAGAATCTGCCACCAGGAAAAGCACAGTCGCCTGAAATCCCACTTTGTCGTTTAACTGCCTCGTGCTTTTAAGATTTTCCTGTTTAGAAGTCCGAGATATCCTCAAGCCGATTTACGACGATCTTGAGAAGAACATAACATCGGGAAATATGGAAGCGAATTTCAAACACCTCCACCCTGAATGTGTGGTTGTGCAAAAAGGCAAAGATGTTTCATACGGAACGGAACGTAAGTTTTTATTATGCCACAATAATAAAAACTTCGCTATAAAATAAGGAAAAACGAAACATTTCTAAGGCCTTGCGCTTCACCCAGAGGTGTTAGGAAAAGCATTACGCTTAGTACCAGTCTTTTCTGAGATCCATCATATGCTCGATTACCATTCAGAATGTGTAACTGGCCGTACAAACTCATCGACACGAATCCAGTTCCAATTTATCGAACCCAGGAGATGAGATGCTCTCCGGATTCGAGGTTCGGGGTCTGAACCACGCTAGTGATGGAGGCACATTTTTACCCGTAGTTTGGATAGATCTGGCATTAGAAACCTGATCAACTAATCGCCATTGCAGCATCTGTCTTTGGAACAGAACTCATCACGTGGACTTGAAGGACCATGCCGCTAGCGGATGAAGTGCCTCAACGAGTTGCGCATTAGATAGCCGGGTCCGCCACCAGAGACGTTGGGCGATTTCCACAGCCTGAAGGTCTGGAGCCAGCATACTAGGTGTATTACTTGGGCCCGCGACCGCCCATCTCGTCCACTGCATATTTCTTATAGACGATAGCGGCTAAGTGTCGCGCCTTCGTTGTTTGAAAAGTTGTTGAGCACCCTTTTCTGCAGATAAATAAATAAATAACATGGGGAATTTGCTTTTAGCTGGAGAAAGTTTGACTTGATATTTTGGGAATTGACTGCTCTCACTTGCAGACTACTGAACAGACAAAGGCGCAGGCTGACTATATGAGCAGAATGGCCCGACTGCCCATCACTACAGCACTGACTCGCTTCTCCTTCATACAGTATTAGAGCAGGAGGCGCATAAACAAGGAAGCTACAGTAGTTGGATATCTCCGCCTCTACAATCACTGTGGACAGTACCTTCAGACTACATGTAACTTCGAAAGCAGCTGATATAGCCGCAATCCGACAGGGCGGCGTCAGGAGGCGTGGAGCTGAGACCATTACTCGCCTCCCAACACGGCCTGGGCACATTGCAACGATATCACTGATATGAACGTATTGAAGTCAAAAAAGACTTCAGACCTTTTCAACTCATTTTTAAATTGCTATGAGTTCCCGACACACAGCAAAGCTAAGATTGCCTACGTCGTTTTACTGTGACTACAAGTACCTTTCAGAAATCGGTGCTAAAATGAGAAGATTCTTTGAAGAAAATCAGCCAAAAAACATTAAAGTGAGACTTCTTTGCGTCGCCATTTTACGTGTCGACAAAATCAATAAGTATGTTTCAGCGATCGAACGCTACCTACTGTGGCTGGTGGAATGTTGTATTATGCGCTGTGTTTGTCGAGGTTAGTTTCGACACACCAAATGGACCGGCAAAAAGTTATTGAGAATCATATTTGGAAGAAGCAGGACAACGATTGGAAATTGTACCATATTGAGTATGAAATGGCTCCAAAATAGAACTCCAATAAAGGATCTGAAGCCTTACACCACCCCTTGTTGAAGAACGTATACTTGCACACTTCTTGAAATAAGACAAGGGCGGTTTGAAGGTTAGACAGGTAGCACCCCACGTGGCCCGCGTAAATGGGCCTTTTTTATGGAGCGAAGAAAAAAGATACTGTGGAAAAGTACCGACTGGAATATAGCTTGATAACTCGTGACAGAGAGCTTGTACGTATTTGTTGAATGATAGAATGAAACTCATCAAAGTCGTTTATCGCATAGACGACGTTTCGGGCTTTAAGCCCTTCTTCAGGTCTAGAAACATCACATTTAAAGCCTACACCAACATCATCTAACCTTACATTCATCGGCAAGAAATCCAAAGGGGAAACAATCAACAATAACCGAACCGGCTTCACTTGAGGAGGGTCTGGGTGGGAGGGGGATCCGGGAGTATGCTGCAAGATGGTCTATGATGATGTGAGAAACAGTAACACGCAACATTGACTCACCTCCCTCGCTGTCCTTTCCTTCGGAAATGGCACAGCAAGATTGGTGAAGCAGTGGTGGGATGTTGATACACTGCTATTGTCATATATGTCACGTATCACCCGTTATGTCACATCATTGTGCAGCAATGATGTCCATTATCCTTCTTAGTTCCTCCTGTTTGTTGGTTGGATTCCTCCTTCAATCTGCAGCGCTTCCTTTTTTCCTTTCCCACTCGGCCGCTCAACTTATGTTCCTTTGGATCACCGCGCACCTTTAGTTCAGTTGCACCGCTCTTCGTTTGTTGGGCGCAAGCGAACGATGTTCTCCGAAAAAAGGGTTATCCGGATAGCTTGCTGGGTTCCGGAAAGCCCTCAGATGTTCATCAAGCCTTTTGTAGAGTGGTCGTCCAGTTTCTCCGATGTAGAATTCCGAGCAGGACGCACACTCCACTTCGTAGACGGTGTTCTTCAAAAGGCAGATCTTTCGTTCCTCCTGGCAGTAAAGACAGTTTTCGCGGCCACATCGGTCTTCGTATACTCGTGACGACGTAAGAAGACGACGTAGCTTGAGCTTGTACGTATTCAAATGGCTCTGACAAGGGAGGTCGTTCAGGGCGTGCCCCGCTTTTTCGAAACGGTTTATTGCACTTGTAGGGCCTTGCCCATGAACCGTAAAAGTGGGCTTCGTTTTTGCTGTTGTGCCGAGCCCCTGGAATTGCCAAAAAGGAGGCGGAAAAAAACCTATTTAGGAAACTGATGTTTTTGAGCCTCTACGAGCTGTAAACCGCTTGAAACTTTGACCAGTTGCTGAATGGAGGGACCCTATAAAGGTGCTATCGGAATCGAAGAGAAAAGTAGTTGGGGTATGGGGTCTTACTTGTGGCACGTAATCAAGCGTGAACGGCTTCATGGAATGGTTTCTTCAACGATCGGAGGAACGTTCAGCATCAATGAATCGGATGGCCTAGTGGATAGCGTGAAGGATTCTCAAGCGGACAGTTGGGGTGGGGTTGATGGTTCAACTCCCCTCGGCGTGCGAGTTTTTGCATTTTTTATGTTTTGCTGTTTTCGCGTTCAAATATGTCTGTGCGTAAGTATGCATTCGATAACTGCCATTTATGGGCACATTTTCAAATGGGAACACTCCATGAATCAGTGCTATTCAATTATTACAGGTTTTACATACCATTAAGCAAGACCGTAATTGAAAGTTGACCTTTATAGGTCAGACCATGCCCGAATCACATATATGGAACTTATTTGTACTACGGTGCCATTTATCGCCTAAATATGGGTGACATGTTTTCTCCCATATGAATGCGTTCTGTACACAACGAAGTAAGCGGATGTGTGTAGCCTCAGGCGACCAGATCATTACGTCGGCGCCGAACATAAGTGTGAAAATCATGATCGGGGCATCGATTACCCCTGTAAACAATCTTTCGGCCAAAAATTTTTTTTTCGACTTTTTGGGTGTGTGCGTTGGGTTGTGCCCGACAGTCTTTCTATAGAAGTCTACAGTGCCTCGCCAAAGGGACCCCTATTTTATTAATATCCAAAGATAAAAGTAACAATGCCGATGAAATACATGCAAAGAGGAAGGAAAGGGAGGCATTCCACCAGGTTTGCTGTCCTGCCCGGCGGCCTGCTACGTCGTCGTTTCGTCATCGTCTTTACGAAGATGGGATACTCCGGTCACTACTGCCGACCAAATGGTCCACCAAAACCCAAGAAATCGAAAAAAAATTTTTTGGCTGGAAGTTCGTCCATAAGGGTAATCGATGGTCCTGATTACGATTTTGACACTTATTTTCGAGGTCGACGCAATTTGGCGCCAGTATAGCGCTTAACGTCCCTCGTATGGGGGTACATAGACGTAACTTTCACTCCTTTTTTGGCATTCCAGGAGCCGCACAGCAAAAACGAAGCCCACTTTTATGGTTCATGGGCAAGGCCCTACAAAGTGCAATAAACCGTTTCGAAAAAGCGGGGCACGCCCTGAACGACCTTCCTGGTAGTTCACAAAGAGAACCAAGTACATGGCGTATCCCGAAGTAGCTAGCGCCACCGTATACATTGGTTCAGCTCGTTGATCCCACATGTTTCAGCTGAGACTATGGGATGTTTAGCTAGCTAAAACTGACCACAGGAACACATCCTAAACTTACAATCTATATCCCGACCATAAGGCGGGGGTTTACGCACTTGGCTGCATTCCAAGCAAGACGAAGGCGGGTAAGCGCGATGTGAGAGAGCGCAAAGAGACCAGACGACAAAGAGCGAGGATTGCATAGATGAGTGGGACAGTTATTTCCTGTGCAGCACTTGCAATGGGCGTCTACCGCCTTAAGAGCTGTTTGCAGTCCTAAGGCACAAGCAACACGTACAAAGAGCCTGCCTACCTCATTATATAACAAGTTTATGGCACTAGGGACATACAGTATGCAAAAACCGTGCACACTAGCGTTCAGACTCGTGGACGCACGTAGCGTACCCGTTGCGCGTCTGCACAGCACTGCACCCACGGCCTAGGCTATGAGTGGAGAGCAGCTACATTCCATGACACACGAAAAAGTGTACTCCGCCTTCAAATATTACTCAAGTGAGTTCAACAGAGTTATAGCGAAAGGCGCACTTCGGCGGCGGGGAGGGGCATTTTGCACTTTCGCTGTTTCACTACTTCCGGTTCACAACTCTCACTCTGGTGAAACCTGTGAACTTTTGTGAGGCTGGAACAGGCTCGTCGAGCCAACGAGTCATATAATCTATCAACTCCTGTAAGCTCATGAAATAGTTCTCTAGATGGGTCGTCTCGCGGTGAGAATTAGATAACAGAAGTGCAAAATGCCCCATCCAGGCGCCGAACTGCCCCTAGCGAAACTACAGATCCAGTGACTGATTTTCAAAAGAAATATCAGTCTTATGGGAAGTTCCTTGGTAAAGTAAATGGACGGACAAAATGTGGCGATGTACAAAACGTTATGAAATGAAAGTGAATCCAGAAATAAAGTAGGAGAAAA